CCCCCCCCCAATGGCATCGCACCCATCTCGCCACCAACCCACTCACTCAACCAGTTCATTCAAGCAATTCAGCCAAGCTAATCCAAGCCAATCCAAGCCAAGCCATTCATCCATCAATCCATTCATCCAGCCAACAGTCAGGCAATCAATACCGATAAACGCTCGGCGCACTCGGCCTTCTCTCCCTCGCAGGGCTCGACGGCCCGCTGGTCGCCACCGACGCAGCCCCGTGGGCGGGCGTCATCAGCCCCAGCTGGTGGAACACATACGTGTTCACCGGCTGGGGCTGCGAGTAGTGATACCCCCCTTGGTACCCCGGGAACGGCACCGGCGGAAACCCTGCTGCTGCTGCTGCTGCTGGGTGCAGCTGCGCGTGTCCGGGTGCGTGTGTGTGCGGGCCGCCCGGGGTGCGGTGGCCGCCCACGTGCAGGTTGAGATGCGCCGGCAGGCTGCCGTACAGCGACGGCACCACATACTGCTGGTGGTGCTGGTGGTGGCCATGATGGCCATACGAGTAGGCGTAGGGGGGCGAGGGGGGTCCCTGGAAGGGCGGCATCATCTGTTGGGCGTGTGTCTGCAGGTGCAGGTACTGGAGTGATGGCGTCAGGTGGTGGTAGGCGGGCGGCACTGCGGCGGGGTGGTACTGGAACCCGCCGCTGCCCACGGTGTAGCCACGAAAGAAGGGAGAGCTCCTGACGTGATGTTCGAGACACATAGGGAGGCAAAACCGGTCCTTGTGTATGAGTGTGTCTCTGCTTCCTTTCTTTCCTTACGCGGCCTCTGAAGGCAAAGAGTGGTTGCTTGAGACGGACGGCGCTCTCGACCCCACAACGGACCACAGCCAGTTGGTGGGGTACGCTATCTGAAACGATGTGGGGCCGCCAAATGTGGTCGTGTGGCCGCGCATGGGAGTCTGCACACGACAGAAAGAGAGAGAGGGGGGAGAAGGAGACACGTGTTTCTAGAGAAAAGGCCTAGCTGACCCTCTCACGACTCACTCGCTCACCTGTGGCAGCGTCGCGTGCGGCGGCGTGAGGTATCCCATGATGGGGTCGTACTCATAGTGCAGTTCAGGAGGGATCATACCCCCGGTATGCAGCTGAAAAGTCCTTCCACGCATCGGCGTCTGAACACACACACACACACACACATCCTTTTCTATCCATCCATCCATTTGTTGGAGTCTCCCTCCCTTCCTCCCTCCCTCCCGGCCTGCCGGCCTGACTGACCTGTGGCATTGGTGGTCTAGGAGGCAGGAGGAAGATGTTTCTCTGCTGGTACCGCTGCAGCACCTCCTCGGTCCACATGACGCTCTTCTTGCTCTTCGGCACCTCCCTCTTCGCCTCCTCACCGGGTCCCCCTGGCACCGCTGAGCCTCCCCCTGCCCCTGCACCCGCCCCAACCGCCCCACTCGACACACCCCCACCTGCAACATTGGTCTCTGAAGACAGCACCAGCTCCGACGGCGGACGCCTCGGCGCGCCTGGTCCACCCCCATGCTGCTGCTGAAACCCCACGTGGTTCCCTGCTGAACCAGCAGCCGCTGCAGCTGCGGCGCTCGATGATGGCTCGGTCATGGCGTGGTCGGTGAAGCGTCGCCTCACCGCTCTGCCTCTGACTGACTCCCCGCTTGGGTTCTTCTTGCCGGTTTCCCCCACTGACTCACAGTGTGGGGCTTGCGTGGGGAAGACTTTTCGCGGCGAAACACGTCTCAGACTCTTCGAACACGCAGTTCGGAGGAAGAGAAAGAGGAGAAGATGACGGCTGTTGCTGTTTCTTCTCCTTCCTCCTTTGCCCTTTACGAGCTCAGCTCGCAGCTCGCAGACGAGCAAGGCGGTGGGAGGAAAGGCGTCTGACCGCGGCATAGCAGCTGACAGCTGGCAGCCTGTGTGACCAGGATCTTCGGTTGGATTCAGCCAGTCGTCGTCATCATCTTGGTTCGTCGTGATGCTTGAGTTGCTTGGCGGATGCGAGACCATCGACGGCGACTTGGATGCGTCGATTCAGCGACTCATGAGCGCCAAATCGGTGTTAACGGAGGTGACCTCGCGGCTCGTTGCTGAGAGAGGCGGCGTGTCGCATCCCCCGGAGACCAAAGGAGAGATGCTCGTCAACGCAGGCGTGCAGTGCTGGGCAGGGCAGAAGAGGACGAGAGCATGAGAGTCGTGATGTGACTGTCTGTGTTGGTCTGTCTGTCGTGTGTGTATCGGCTGGCTGATCAGGCGGCGTGGTGTTTCCGGTGTCCCGCCGTGCGCTCCTCCTTCCCTTGATGCGCAAGCGATACATCTCAGTCCTGCTGATGCACTTCTCTGACGGCCTCCCGCGAGATCCTGATGGCCATGTCTATCTGGAGGCGTCACCCGCATACTTCGAGGCCTTTCTGGACGAGCTGACACTCCACGAGACCCACCGCACCGGCAGTGTCGAGCTGCCGCCCTCCAAGGCGGCTGACCCGACTTACAGCGAGTACCACTCCCTGTTCATGCGAGAGCTGCAGTCCTTCTCAGCTCCGACACACAGGCGCCACGGTGCCGCCACGACCAAGGCGGTCGATGGCGCATGTGACGAGAAGGCCATCGCGGATATCATTCAGACGTCGCTGAGCGATCTGGAGAAGGTCATGAAGCGGCTGACGTGCCGCAGGGAGGAAGTGGTCAAGTTCCTCTCGGCAATGGAGCCGTTTATGAAGGGTCAGGATGACGCCAGAGGTGACAGCGCGGTGCTGAGCTTGGACGTGATGGGTCGGAAGGTGAGCTGCATGAAGCGCACCCTCCAGCGACTTGGCAATGACCATCCCCTGCTAACGCGATTCTCAAAGTGAACACATTCACAAACGACAGACGGAGAGCGACAAGGCAGGTCACATCTGTGTATGTGTGTGGTTGTGCAGCACTCCGCCCTGCTGGGGTGACCGTCGTGTGCGTCAGACCCCCACCAAGCACTTCGTCAACACAGTCGACTTCGCCCGGCGAATTTCGGTGCTGCCCAAGGGGCAGCTCATCCGCCCCCCGCTGATGGACGAGGCCGAGCGTGAGCTGTTTCGAGAAGATTTGACAATGTATGGTCTGACTTACTGCCCATTTTGGACCTGCCGGCCGGCCATGAGTGGGTCATCAAGTCGGCAGAGGAGTGGGTGAGCCTGCTGGACATGATAAAGAAGCCCATGTGCAGACCATCGCTGCTCTTCAAGTAAGCCGGGCGCTCACGAATGGCTGTGCGTCCCGTCGGTGCAGTGGATGCACGTGTGTATGTGTGTGGATCAGGTCTAGCCGTGATGGGAGTGCCTATGCCACGATGCTCGACTGTGTGGCGGGCAAGAGCGGCCTCCTCTTCGCCCTCCGAGATGGCGACACGCACCGATTCGGCTGCTTCCTCGGTGGCCAGATCACCCCGCCGGCCGACCCCAAACAGACCAACCGCTACAAGATGCCCCTCTTCTTCTTTTCGCTCTCCGGCGCGTACGAGGCGCCCACGAAGATCGAGCTGCCTGAGGACAGGCAGACGGTGGGGGTGGCCGGCACACAGGGGGCGTCGAAAAACGACATGGACGAGCCGCTTGCCAATGTGTGCATCGCTTGCGGCTATCTGTGGCTGGGATTCGCTCAGCCTGGCCCTGCGGCCGACCTCAGCAGCTGCCACCTGTGGATCAAGAGGGACCAGTTGCCGGAAGGGTACAAGGGGGGGTACACTCAGCAGGGCAACGGCGACGGCTTAATGGCGCGGACCATGAACTTCACGTGTGATGAGATGGAATCTATCATATGGAGCCCACCACATATGGGTGGCAGTCAGAGAAGCCAAGAAGCTTCATCGACTGGCTGTTCGGCGGAATGTGCCGACAGATCGACAGATAGGAGCCATAGCGAGGTGGGCCGAGTAGGTGTGATCTTGGCTGTCTCTGCTCTTGGTTGGTCGGGTGCGTCTGTGCGTGGGTGTGTTGCTTGCCGTCGTCTTCGTCAGCTCCTCACCCTCACTGCCAAGCGGGGGCGAGGAGATACCGAAGACGCGGCGAATGACGGCATGAGGGAACACACCAGCACAGACAGAGCGACTGACTGTTGGCAGAGGAAATACATGCGCTTCGTGTCTACAAGTGGTGATCGTAAGGCTGGACACTGCCTGCCTATCTTGTGTCTGTCTGTCTTGTGACGTCTCCATTTCGTGTGGCTGTGGCTGTGGCTGAGTGTGTGTCTTGTGTGCCTTCTCTCACACCTTTTCATCCTTTGCTGTCCACCCCCTTGGCGGTGACAATGTGCTGTGGACAGACACATGATCACTGCCAAGGGGGTCGGAGGGCTAATGAGGAAGAGGCGGGGGCACAGAAAGCACCACGCTGGCGGACAGACGAAAGAGCGACAAAGTGCCCTGAATGAAATGTGAGCAATACTTCTCCTCTCATGCATGATCCACATCCGCACAGGCATTTAGACGAACAAGATGTCTCCTTCCTTCCATCCATCCATCCAGTCAGTCTGACCAGCCAGACGGTCAGTCAGTCAGACTCATAGCTGTCCTCAGTCTGCAGCCAGCGACACCCCTCGGCAACTGGGTACCGCCTCTCGTCCGCAAATCCCCCGCCATAACCCAGAAACAGCTCCTTGCCCCTCACGATATCCCTCGCTGCATAGACCTCCGGCGCCCTGTGCCGGCGAATCTTCCAGCTGCAGTTGACACCGCCTGCTGCCGTTGCAGTAGTTGAGTGGGGCGGGGGCTCGTTGATGCGGCATGCGATCGAGTGTGCGAACTCGGAGCAGACGGTGTTGGGGCCCTCGATGTCGCCACAGGTGGGGTCGACTGTGGTCATGCCCCTGCTGCCGCCGACGGTGGCATTGTAGTGCTCATTGGAGGGCTCGCTCTGCTTGAGAGAGACAGAGAGCAGAGAGATCCTGTGTGTGCCGTGCGCATGTGGGTGTGGGTGTGGATGCACACACACACAGCTACCTGGTCAAGGAAGTACCCATGATACTCGGCAATGAGCTCGCCCCTTGCAAGGTCCCGTTTGGCCACAACCGTCAGCTCCCCCGGCAGCCAGCTGCATGGGACGATGTCGCCAGTGGCAGACACCGGACACACCGCCCCCTGAATCGCCCGCTTGACCTCACCCACGCCATCCATCAGCCGCTGGCAGCCCCCTGATGCTGCTGGCGCCCGCACCGACACGGAGACGTCATCCCCCTGTGACAGCATCCACAGGGGGTCGGTCGTGTGGCTGAAGACGCCGCCGGCGATGGCGATCTGATCGGTCTCGGCTGTGTTGGTGCAGAGGTGGGTGATCTTCTGCAGGATGGCCGTCTCGCCGTGGTCTGCTGCTGCTGTGCGTGTGGGCGAGAGCCATGTGTCGGTGGCGGTGTGTCGTTTGGCGTGCAGGCGGCCCATCATGCGATCGATCTCACACAGAGCCTCGCGGAGGTCGTCTGAGGAGCGAGGAGGGACAGCAGGCAGTGACGTGTGGCTGTGCGTGGGGTTGATTGCGTACCAGTTGTGGGCTGGGGCTGTGTCATTCGGTGACCATTGGAATAATGCCTGCTTGAAGCCAATACAGACACACAGACAGACAGACAGAGAGCAGAGCTTGGTTCGGGGGGAGGATGCGGCTTCAAGCAAGCCAGAAAGAGATATTCACTCATCAAGCCGTCCGTACTCACACACACACACACACACACAGAGAGAGAGAGAGAGAGAGACCCCACACACGGGCAGACAGACAGACAGACAGGCATAGTTACTCACCTACTTGAGCAAAACGTCAAAAACGGGTCGGATATGTCCACACACACACACACACACACACCTGTACACGGAGTCGTCAATGCACGCACAAGGGCAAAACTGAGCCTGCAGCCCACCTCTCTCAAAATGGCAGCTCGGCCCACAGAGATAAGCGCTAACCTAACCAGCCCATCTGTCCGTCCATCTATCGTACATCCCGCCTCTCTCTGTCTGTCTGTCTGTCTGTCTCTCTGTGAGCTAGTTGTCCCTCTCCCTCATTGCGCCCCTGTCATGGTGCCGCTCGTCCACCACCGCCCGACACTGCCGCACGTGCCTCTCCTGGTCAAGCGTCTCGATCGCTCCCGGCCGCGCGCTCCTCACCATGTCGATCGCGTCTTCTGGTGTGAAGATGCCCAGCTCCACCAGCAGCCTTGCCGATATGGTCCCCGCCCGGCCGATGCCGCCGCGGCAATGGACGTGCACACGGCCGCCTTTTCTGAGAACGGCGCGTGCCTCGTGCCCTCCCCCGTTGACCCAGGCCGTCTCGAAGAGCGACCCGGGGGCGTTGAAGTCGCGGATGGGCAGATGCCGCCATCGCATGCCTCTCTCGAAGACGGCCTCGCCGATGCCCGCCACGCCCAGCCTCTCCATCTCTGATTTCTCGATAAGGGTGAGCACCAGAGAGGCGCCTGAAGCAGCGATGGCGTCGAGGTCCGCAGTGAGGTCACGGTCGCGTTTTCCTGGACACTCTGAGATGCCGATTGCTGCTGATGAGTCGGGGAGGCGGATGCTGAAGATCTTGAGAGGTGGGGGCTGGGGCTGGGAAATTGGGGAATGGGCGAGGGCAGCGGACGTGCGGCATGGCAGCAGGGTGGCCATGGGGGGCGGCGGCAGGTGGGGCGAGAGAGGGGGGAGAAAGGAACAGCAAGAGGGCGGCCTCAACACCACCTACCGAGATACAGACAGACATGGACACACCCAGCAAGAACAGATATGGGAGCCTGGCTCGGGTGGGTCGATGGATGGATGGATGGATGATGTGCACATCTAGCTGTGATGACAGACAGACACCATACAATACAATACAATACAACACACTACACTACACGGCCCAGTGAGTGACAATACAGAGGGCGGAAAAGACACACACACTCACACACTGCGTCAGCCGGGGAATCGACGCCAGTAAGCCCTATACTCCTCCCACAATCGGTTCAAAACCTCAGCAGATATCGACTCGTATCCCTCCTCCCCACCCTTAAAACGACCGAACAATCCCTCGGCCTTGCTCTCCAGCAAATGCTGCCTGACCCTCTCATCCGACCAGATGCCTTCACACCCGCCCCCCTCGTAAGTCCATCGCGGCAAGGACCCATCGCCCGCTCTCTCGTCGTCCGGCCACACAGCCTCGCTCTCCCAAGCCTCCTTGGACCTCAACATGGGAGGCCAGAAGGGGTAGGTGGCGCACTGGAACGGTCTGACGGGGTAGATGGAGCACTCTGTTCCAGACAGGAAGATGCAGCGACTTGTGCCCCCTGCCCACTCGTCGTCAGGCACGTCTCTCAGGAGCCGCCAGCCGTCGTTGTCCACCCCTTCCTCGGTGTAGAGCTCGATGAAGGCCGCCCCGTCGATGGAAAGGTAGTCGATGATCGCCCGCTGCTCTTGTGGGCTGACCCACACGTTGCCCCTGGTGCGGCAGCACTTGCCGCACTCGGTGCACTTGAACCGCACCCCTCCCTCTGTGTCGAACCATCTCACACGCCGGCGGCTGCCGTCACCATAGGAGGGGAAGATGACACTGTCTTCTTCTGTGTCTGCAGCAGGGCTGTCGTCTTGATGCCGCGATGCCTTGAGAGCATTGCGAGGCTGCGTTGCCGGCCGGCTGTGGGGGTGGCGGAGGGTGACGAAGAGAGAGAGGGGGGAGGGGGGCTGAAAGGCAGAGAGGCAGATGGACAAGGTAGGCAGTGAGTCTCATCCAGTGACCCATGATGAAGACAAGCGAAGTGAAGAGCAGAAAGAAAAAGGGCAAAAAATCGCGTCGGCCGACACGAGCAGCGCAGCGCAGCGCAGCGCAGCAGAGGAGCTATCTATCTATATATCTGTTTCTCTATGTCTTTGGCGTGTTCACTAGACAACACACTCGACCTGACCTCCCACTCAGTGCAGAGTGCGTACGTATCGATGTGTCTGTGCCGTGCTGTGCAGTGCAGTGGCTGTCTTCCTCCCTCCCCTGCTCACCTTCTTGTCCGTGCGTGTGCGTGAGTGACTGTCCAGCCACCAAGACAGACAGCTGCGCCGCTCTCCTTCAACGCTCCCAACAGCCACTTGAACAAACAGTAGCAGCAGCAGCCCGCCCAGCAGCTGAAGGAGTGTCGCACCCCTCCTCGCCGCAGATGGTACAAGCAGCAGTTCAGCGTCGAAGGACTCCATGGGTGTGCTCATCACGTAGGGTGAGGAGAGAGAGGAAAAACTCCATTGAACGAACGCCTGCAGAAAGGAGCGACAAAACGACCGTGAGAGGCGTCACTGGGAGGAAAGAAGAGAATCACCTGCGGCCGCCCAATTCAATTCCACGCTGAACCAGCCTCAAGCAGGGTTCGGGTTTAGGGGTTTCTGCTTTAGGGTTAATGCAGATTCACACATGGCACTTCCCGCTCTTTCTCCGCCAGCTGTGCTGTTGCTTCCCTTCTGTGCCCCCGCCTCTTCCTCATTAGCCCTCCGACCCCCTTGGCAGTAATCATGTGTCTGTCCACAGCACATTGTCACGGCCAAGGTGGCCAAGAACATAGGATGAGAAGGCGCGAGAGAAGGCACACAAGCCACAGCCACAGCCACAGCCACAGCCACACGAAATGGAGACGTCACAAGACAGACAGACACAAGATAGGCAGGCAGTGTCCAGCCTTACGATCACTGTAGATGGACACGAAGCGCATGTATTTCCTCTGCCAACAGTCAGTCGCTCTGTCTGTGCTGGTGTGTTCCCTCATGCCGTCATTCGCCTCGTCTTCGGTATCTCCTCGCCCTCTCTTGGCAGTGAGGGTGAGGAGCTGACGAAGACAACGGCAATGGAGACATCAAGCAACACACCCACGCACATGTGCCTCCCTCTCTGCTATGTACAAGGCAACTGCACTGCAGACAGCACTGCCCGTGCCCTCTTCTCTCTCTCTCTCTATAGCTCCTCCACTTTGACACGCTTCGCCGGGCGCTCACTCGACGCAGCAGCACCGCCCTCAGCGGCACTGCCCGTCGCAGTCGTATTATCTTCTGCCTTGTCGGTAAACGGCTTGTCGCTTTCCTCCATCTTGGCATCAGTGGTTGTGGCACCGTGTTGCTTGAGGAATGCTGACTTGACCATCTCTCTGCACTTGGCCTCCAGGGCGTGCACCGCCTTGGCGTCGAGCCGGGAGGCGTTGGTCACCCTGTAGGGCTGCGACATCTGACGCAGGAACGTCTTGGCCACACCGATCTGCACACACACACACACACACACACACACAGAGTACGAGATGGGCTGTCCGACAGCACACACACCCGATGAATGTCTGTGTTTGCTTACGGCGACGTCGGATGAGAGCGACATGTTGGCGGCCTGCATGTGTTTGAGAATCCACGGGGGCAGCTTGGTGCGCTTGTCCTGGCGGCTGTAGCGGGAGTCGGCGAAGATCATAATGCCGTAGTCACTCTTGGACCGAATAATCCGCCCCACACACTGGGCCGCCTGCCGCATAGCGTCAAAGGTCAGGAACTCGCCCTCCTGAATCTGGAAGTGCTCTCGCATGAAGTCCAGCCGGGCCTTGAGGATTCTGCTCAAGGTGTACTGGAAGGGCACCCCAAACAGCACCACACACCGCCCGTAGTGACGGTCGAAATCGATGCCCTCGGCCACTTTGCCGCGGGCAATCGAAAAGAACACCGCACCGCGGCCGCTGTCACAGGCTCGCCTGACAGACCGACAGACCGACAGACAGACAGAGAAGCGGAGGTGGTGTGGTGTGGTGTGCTGTGTGTCTGTCTGGTGGGTGTCTGTCGACGTGACGCACCGCACCTGAAGTTGTGTAGCGCCAGTGTGGTCGAGACGACGTCTTTGGTCTCCAGGAAGATGAGCTTGTGCGACATGACCTCAGTCATGATGCCCATCTCATACCTACACACACACACACACACACACACAGGGGGAGAGAGACAACACGTGTCTGTTTCTTGGCACGGCTGTCCGTCCGGTGTGTGTGTCGGGTGAGGTGACCAAGCTGAACGTACTTAACTTACCATTGTGCGACGACTTGTTCCATGTAAGCGTAGGAGGTGAAGAAGCAGACCATCCCATCAGGAACCGTCTTGACGAGGTCGATGAGCAGCGAGCCGTAGTTGCGCACAACAGACTGGTCGTTGCGCAACTCGAACTTGGATGACAGCTGAACCTGCACACACACACACACACACACACACACCACACACAGGCATGATGGTCCATGCAGGCTATTGTCAACATTCCCCTTGGCTGACATGTGGCACCTGGTCGGCCCCTCTGGAAACGATCAGCGGGCAGAAACAGTCGCGGTCCAGCGACATGGGAAACGACTCCGTCAACACAGGCTACACGCACGAGCACAAGACAACACCCACATTAGCCAGCCCTGGTGCAAGCGGCCACACACACACACACACACATCACACATCACACATCACACATCGATACATACCTGAAAGTTGAGAATCTTGGGGTAGAGCTCCAGCGGCGAGATGGTGCCCGAGGTGAGTATGACAGACTGGTACCTCTTGAGGACCGGCTGCATGGCGAGGGACGAGTCGAGGCAGCTCAGCTGCAGCAATGGGTCGTAGATGCCCGTCGCCTCAGGCCATGGGTCTGTTATCACGATGAACCCATCCCTGCAACCACACATCCACACGTCCACACATGGAAGAGAGAGCACCGCCTGTCTGTCTGTGTCTTGTGTGAGGTGCTGGTGCTGGTGGCGGACCAGTAGGTGCCGACGAGTGTGCAGAAGTCGGCCACGAGGGTGAGGGGCGTGAACTCGTCAAGATTGGTCACGCGCACAGTGTTCAGCAACGACCTGCACCACACAGTCAGCCATCCATCCATGCATGCATCCACTGACACTGATGCCTTCTCTTCGTCTGTCTGCCTGTGTGCCCACCCAAAGTGGCCATCCATCCATACCTGAGCCGCTCGTAGCAGAACTTGAGTGTCTTCGCCTCGATGGATGTCTCCTGCTCCAGTTTGTGCAGGAAGGACAGGGGTCCCTCCGACTGCACCTCAAACACCCGGATGTACGTCTTCAGGTACAGCACCACCTTCCGCATCAGACTCACGAAATGCTCCGCACGACGGATGTTGCCCGGGATGACCTGCACCCACCATATGACATATCACACAGAGAGAGAGAGAGAGATGTCTGTGTGGGTGTGGGTGTGGGTGGTTGCCGTACGTACGTCTTTAGCAATGTCGTCTGGGAGGAGAGGGTTTGCGAGGTGCTCAAACATGTCGGCATCGATCTGCCCGGCGTCCCGCAGCCCGCCAACCAGCCGCTGATACTCGTCCTGCAGGCGCTGCTGGTCCACCCTCTTCACCCTACACCACAACAGACCACACCACACCCACATGCACACCCACGGGCATAAGCATCACGTTCTCTCTCCCCCACGCTCACTCACTCTTCGATTTGGTCCATCAGTTTGGTCAGGTTCTTGCTGGACGCCTCGAGCGTCTGTCGATTGAGGTTGACGCTCAGGGCCTCGATGCACACGTTGTCGATGTTGTGCGCCTCGTCAAACACAATGATGCTCGGCTCTTTGTTCGCCGCAAACGACTTGGCCGACGTCTGCGCACCGGCCGACGCCGCCCCCGCATAGCTGGGCGGCGCGCGGCCCACACCAGTGCCCAGAAGGGCCGCCTGACGTCAGCAGCACCACCCGAGCAACGAGATTGATCAATGCAGTGCATGAATGAGATCGATGGCGGCTGGTGCGTTCGTCTCCTCCTACCTGTGAGACTTTGGGGTCGAGGACGTACTGGTAGTTGAGCACCACCACGTTGGCCGTCTGCAGCAGCCTTCTCGCAGCAAAGTAGGGGCAGAAGGGCTCGTTGGCCTTGGCGCCCATCGTCTTGAGGTCCTCGATGGTGTACACCCCCGGCGGCACCAGAGTGGTCGCGCCGTGCCGCTCAAAGCTCTCGTAAAAGTCGCACAGCTCGTGGTTGCCCTCCTTCTCAAGCACCGACTGCCGCACCCAGGGCGCCGTCAGCTGCCGGCACCGCTCGTCCACCTTATCGCGGTCGGCCTCCTGGCTCACCGACGGATGCACACACATGTTCCGCCGGGCGCTCATACCGATGGCCAGAATGTGACCCTTGGACATCGACTTGTCCTTCGATGGTCCCGCAGCAGCACCAGCACCACCACTGGCTGCAGCGGCAGCAGCAGCAGAACCGGCGTCAGGCATCTGGTGGTCCTCAGCTGCAGAGCGGTCCTTGGCCAGCTCGCTAACGCGGTAGCGGGTGACGAGTCGCAGCTCCTCGAGGGCCTTCTCCATCTCGGGAACTGTTCGGGTGCAGTAGATGAGCTTGCCGGTAGCGGGATGCGCCAGCTGGTATGAGGTGATGAGGGAGAAGAGGGCCACGGTCTTGCCGGTGCCGGTGGGCATCTCCAGCACGGCGTGGCCCTGCGCGTCGAGCGTCTGCTTGAGGTGGTACATATACTGGTACCTGCACACACAGAGGGATGAGGCCGCTTGTGTGTGCGTGTGTGTGGATCTGTGTGTGCGCCTGCTGCAGGCGTGTCTGTCCTGTGGTGTGTGCGTCGGCGCACTCACTGCTCGGGATAGACATATTCATAGGGGAAGAACACATCCAAGCCGTCAACTTTGAACCGGACCATGACGAACAGGCGTCTTCTCCTCGTGCTCAAAACTGGAAGCGAATTTGAGCTCGCCGCCAAGCTCGCAGAGTAGAAAGGGAGAAGCAGCGAAGAAGGCGTGTATGTGACGCCCACGACGGCTGGACACTGCGGAGAAGGCAGATCTCCCAGTTCCGCGGACATTTGATCATCGAACACGCAAGTCCAATGAACGCCTCTTCCCTCCCTGCCGCCCGGTTCGCCCATCAGCTGCCCTGCTGCCCCCCCGTCCCGCCGGCCTTCCGCCACGCGCAGCAGCGCACCAAGAAGTACATCCCCTTCCACTTCATCCGCAAGCGCAGCCCGTCCAAGCGGGAGCCCCTCTCGTCCACCCAGGCGCTGCTCGAGCAGGTGGGCGTCTCGACAAAGGAGGCCCCGCCCATCCTGGCGTCGCCGTTCCAGGCGGCCCGGCTGCTTCAGGCGTTTGTGAGCCGGCCCGAGCGGCGTGACCCGGTGATGTTTGGGATGCGGGTGAATGTGGATCTGAAGAGGGAGAGCGTGCGGGGGGTGACGCAGCTGCCTTATGGGCTGCAGGCCGACACGCGACTGCTCGTCTTCTGCCCAGACGAAGAGGCGCAGGAGATGTTGGATGCTGGTGCTGACTTTGCTGGCCTGACTCAGCCCATCCAGGACATCTCCAAGGGCTGGATCGGCTTCGAGCGGTGCATCGCCACACCTGTCGTCATGCCTCAGGTTACACACACCCCACCAAGACACACCAGACACAGAAGCCACCTGCGTCTGTGTCTGTCTGTCGTCTGTCAGGTGCTGAAGATTGCCAAGACATTGGGCCCTCGACGGTTGATGCCCAATCCCAAGAGCGGAACGATCACGGCGAACCTGCGGGAAGCCATCAAACTCGCCAAATCGGGTGCTCAGGTGAGATGAGAAGACCACAGAGAGAGCGGGCGGATTCACAGAGGGGGACGACCGTCATGCATTGCATTGCGTTGCGTTGCGTGGGTGTGTTGTTGTTGTTGTTGTTGTTGTGGGGTGTGTGTGTGTGTGTGTGTGCAGATAGAGTTCCGTGCCGAGGGCGAGGGCGAGATCAACATCCAGCTGGCACACACGGCGTTTCTGCCCGCTCAGCTGCTCGAGAACATGAGACACTTCATCAGAGAGGTGAGTGAGATCACACACACACACACACACATATCCATCCATCCATCCCCCCCCGATTCGTCCATGTCTGTCTGCCTCTTGTGTGGATGTGTGTGTGTATGTTGTGTTGTGCAGGTGATGAAGGTGCGCACCAAGACGACCGGCGCCACGACGTCAGGCGAGGGCACCTTCCAGTGGCCCCCGCACCAGGACATTCGATTCACACCCAAGACAGACCCCGCCATCCAAGGTGCGCATGGACCTGCACACCCACACCCACACCACACGAGCGTGATGGATCTCCCTCCCTGTGTGTCGATCGAATCGATCAGCGTTGAAGGTTGAGAGCAAGACGGCGCCCACATCTGAGGAGTTCATCTTGGGCGGCAGTCTGCAGGCCCGTGGGGGGCCGCGGATCCTGCTCGATCCCACACTCATGCACCCCACGTCCACTGCTTACTACAGATAGACTGACTGACTGACTGACACAGACAGAGGCAGGTGTGTAAACGTAGCGTGACGGCACGGCTCGTCTATTGTGCGTTGTGTGTGTCTGTGCGTGGGTGTGTTGCTTGATGTCTCCCTTGCCGGCGTCTTCGTCAGCTCCTCACCCTCACTGCCAAGAGAGGGCGAGGAGATGATGAAGCCAGGGTGGAGGTTGACATGAGGGAACGCACCATGCAGCACAGGCAGAGCGACTGACTGTTGGCAGAGGAAAGACATGCGCTTCGTGTCTACAACTGGTGATCGTAAGGCTGGACACTGCCTGCCTATCTTGTGTCTGTTTGTCTTGCGTAGCTTTATCTCTGCAGTGGCATAAATGCCATGATGCGTGACGGACTGACTGATCATGACAAAAGTTCATATCATGCTGCCAAGACGCCAATCTGTGGCAAGCTTGAACAAATGCTCATCAGCCACACATCCTGCTGCGCCGCAGTCAGGCGGACCCACAGCCAACCAAGGGCGAGCAACACACGCATTGCGTATGACGGTCCTCAAGGGGAGGGAAGGGTCGGACGATTGTCGATTTGGGGCCAGCCAGTCTCTCTGTACGGACACGTGACTGGCTGGCCCGTCGCGATAATCATTACTTGTGGCCTCAAGTGCCGTCAACAGACAGCAGGCCAGACGGCACACATCGTTGACACACCACTGACGCCCACGCACCCACGGCAGACCAGACCGAGGTAGATCTACACGTCCACACGGGTAAGTACGTTCGACCACCACCGTGTATTGATTGGATATATATGCCGTCCGTCATCTACAGTGCACATGTCCCGTCTGTCTGTCGTCTACGTGGCCTGCTCTTTGAGCCTCAGGAATTTGAACAGGCTGGCGGCCTCCTTGATTTTGGCGTGGTCGATGCAGAAGGCCTGCACCTCCAGCAGCACGTTGTCGACACTGATGCGCTCGTTGCGCAGCAGTGAATGGATGAAGATGCACACCTGACACACACGACACGCACGCACACTCGATGAGTGAGTGCATGGAATGGGGTGACTGGCGCGGTGCCTGGTGGGCACTCCACTCACTGACCAGTCTGACGTGTCGCTGCTGAGTGCTGTCTGAGACGTTTGAGCAGTAGTAGATGCACCGAGCGATATACTCCTGCAGGAACTCGGCCGGCAGCTCAACTGATCACCCACCACACACAGGCACACACACATCCACACACACATGGGGACCTGCAGATGACGGCTGCGGCGACGGCCACCACTCCGCCAACCGACCGACCTGAGTAAGCGAGTTTGTCGACGACTTCCATGCAGCGAAGCGACATCGGGTTGTTGAGCATCACAGACAGGTAACTGACCATGTGAACCACACACACACACACATAAAAGATGCACACGGCTGCCTTAGGTGGGTGCACAGCCCAGTCTTCTCACTCACTCGGTGATCTGTGCGGACGACATGAGCTTCTCGAGGCACTTGACAGCCACGGGGGGGTTCTTCTCAATCTGAGGACACAGACAGACCATCGACTCGACGGGTGGACGGACGGACACACATACCCACGCGACGGAGATCTCTTGTGTGGCTGTGTCGTGTCCGCACCAGTGAGGTGAGTCTCTGTGGTGTGAGGCCGCAGTGGTAGACCAGCTTGGGGTCCTGGTCGATCGCCTCGCATATCGTCTGCATCAACCAAGACATACATAGCAATAAACCCTCCATGGCGATATCTGTTGGTTGGTGTGCTGTGGTGTGGCGCGGTGTGCGGCGACGTACGTTCTGGACGTCGGGTGCGACGGAGTTGACGATTGCGTTGGACAGCAAAGCCTTCATCTGCACACAAAGAGGCCATTCGCGAACCTCTCTCTCCCTTGTGTGTCCCTCCCTGTCGGCTGACTGCCTGTCTGACTGACCTCTCCCCCGAAGGCCTGGTCCACACACATGCTGTAGTCCCACAAAGGCTCGGCCAAAAGGGGCACCTGCAGCCAGTACACCTGACACACACAACACAACACACAAGCCGATGAGTGAATGACAAACAGATAGGCACATCGGCTCAATCAATGGCTGCATACCTCGTCAGCCGTTGGGTCCAGGAGGGGGGGCGGTGGGCGGACCCATGACGGCTCCAGGCTCAGCATGTGAAGCTCACTCGACTTGAGATCCTCAGACGACAACGTCCTGCAGCCAAAGATGACCACCGCCATGGCCGGCTGGCTGCCCCATTGTGTGTCATTCATCTGGTTTGCTCACGTGGCTTCGAGGGGCTCTTCGACGATCCACGAGGGCGTGGAGTCCCTCACCGACGGCCGCACGCCCATAGTCTCGAAACCCGTCACACTGGGCGCACCTGCACACACACGTACGCGGACACACAACACACGACACATGGATGGATGGATGGATGGACGATGATGACAGAGGCATACCCTCAGAGAAGAACCTTCTGAAGACGGCAAGATCCACGTTGCCCGAGCTCTGCAGAAGCAGCCAGCGATAGAGAGACCGTTCCTCCCTGCCCTTGCCCGGCTTACACACCTCATTGGGATTGAGCCTCGACAGCCACTGCACAGGCGACTGCGTGTGGATCTACACACACAACCACACAAAAGTGCCAGCCACTCATCCGTCCGTCACGTGTATCTGCATGCCCGCCCTGTGTGTGTCACCCTCGCGGCGCACCTCCTTGGGGACCGACGAGAGGAAGCACTCTAGGAACCGTCGCTCCCGCTCATCCTTGGTAGACTGGATGGTGTCGAGCACCAGGGGGATGAAGGGACTGGAGCTCACGCCGGACTGCGAGGCGTAGATGTCATAGAGCAGGTAGAAGCCCACCAGCCGCGCCTCGAAGGCCAGGAGGCCGTCCTCGAGGAGGATGCAGATCACCGACCCGACCTTGAAGAGGTCCTGCTTCTGGTAACTGTCCCGCAGGGCGCTGCCGAGCTTCTCGAAGGGGCTGTTGATGTCGTTGAGCGTCTGCAGCAGCGTGTCAAGCTCCTGCTGACTCAGCATCGGGATCTATTCACACACCTTCTTACTGACGATGGATGCCGCGCGGTGGACACAGATCCATCTGCGTGTGCACCTCTCTTCATGCGCGAGCTTTGAGTGGATCGCGGCGCTCTTTTGCTCGTAGTCGATGTTGTCGAAGAAGCGCAAGGCGGATGAGCCGCCTGCGGGTGTTGCGGCAGCAGCAAGAGGCGATGTTGACGAGTTTGAGCCGCTCCCAACCATCGGCCGCCGACGAATCGATGAAGCGCTCAAGGAGGCCGACCAATCGCTGGCGGCTATCGAGCAGAACGCCAAGCAGATGAGGAGAAAGCTGCGCGAGCAAGCGGCGATGATTCGAGGGCTCATCACGAGCAACGGAGGGCAGCCGAGTGCCATGGGGCAACTGGATGAGGAGATAGAGGTCAACGTGGGCGGGACGGTGCTGTGTGTGCCGCGCAAGCCGCTGCTGCTGCCCGGCGTGAGTGAGAGCGTCATTGCATATCTGCTGCTGTACCATCTGGAGGGACTGCCGAAGGACACGGACGGCCGGCCCTTCCTCGATGCTGACCCTGTGTATGTAGACTGGTAAGCTGCAACCCTGTGCAGTCGGTGCGAAAGAGATGACGAAGAATCGGCCCGCCAACCTAATGGTTTCTTCTGTGGTTGTTCTGTGTCTGTCTCAGGTTGTTTGACGAGATCGCCAAGCTGTTCGGCGTCGATGCCCAGGGCGAGACCGCCAAGATTGAGCTCACTGGCGTTCACGCCACCGACAGCTCGTCGCTCTTCTGGCACGACCTCCTCTTCGCTTCCAAGACCAGCCTGGACATCGACATGCCCGCAGACGCACCCACGCCAGACAATGACGACCACGACAACATGCAGGTCGACGACGAACAGCAGCAGCAAGACGGAGAGGAGGAGGGCGAGAATAAGGCGATCGACGGCATGGCGACATTCAGCAAGAGCATTGCAAGCCTGGATGCGTCAGTGGGTTGGCTGGGTGCGGCCGAGGACCGCTTGAAGCACTTCTACAAGCTCGTGAAGCCGCTGCTGGCGTCGGGGGTGGGGCAGGGGGATGAGATCAGGAGCGTGCGGGTTGGGGGCAAGACGGTTTCGACCACCGAGGCCACACTGTCACATGCTGGCCGCGACAAACGACTCTACACGACATTCCACGAGTAGGTGACACAACACCGATCGAACAGACGGGAGAGGCTGCATGGCCACTCTCATCTTCTCTCTGTATTGTTGCAGCGGTGCGGCTGTCCACGCCACGTCGTCTGCGCCTTTCATGAAGGTGGTCGACTTTGCCCGCAGAAAGCGCATCACACAGCCTGCGTCCCTCGTCATGCCGCCGACGGCAAGCAACGCCAGGCAGATGCAGGTCGACACCGAGATGTATGGGTTGAAGCACGAGCCCTTCTGCAGCGGCCTGGCGGGGGGCAACTTGGTCATCGAGACGGCCGAGGAGTGGAACGAGGTGCTCAAGATGACGGGCAAAACCTCACCAAAGCCATCGCTCATATACAGGTGGGCGAGCAGTCATATGAAGCCACGGAGAGCAAATGCACCCAGCACACACCGTCTTTGTGTGTATTGCTCCCGTGCCATCCATCCCTCAGGGGCAGTCGCGACACGTATGCGTACCCCAAGATGCTGCAGTGTGTGGCGGGCAAGAGCGGCCTCCTGTTCGCCCTCCGAGACGGCGACACGCACCGATTCGGGTGCTTCATCGACGGCGAGCTGACACCGCCCCAAGAATACAAGGTGCCCACCTTCTTCTATTCGCTGTCCGGCGCCTATGACACCCCCACCAAGATCGAGCTGCCCGAGGACAGGCAGACGGTGGCGGTGGCCGGCACACAGGGGGCGGTGATGGACAAAAAGCGCGAGCCGCTTGCCAATGTCTACATCGGTCGCGGGTATCTCTGGCTGGGTTTCGCCGAGCCTGGTCCGGCTGCCGACCTCAGCAGCTGCCACCAGTGGATCGCGAAGGACGAGCTGCTGCCGTTGGGATACAAGGGCAACATCAATCAGCAGGGCAACGGCACATTGGCGCAGTCGAACAACTTCACAGCGAGCGAGATTGAGATATGGCACATCACAGAGGTGAGGGCGGGGAGGGCACGGGGAAGGAACACTCATGGCTGCATGCTGATGCCATCGCACATGCCTGCGTGTCCAGGGGGGGAGCGACTGAGTCGATCATATGAACCCTATCAACACTGCAGACACACAGGTGAGATGTTAAGGCACTATCACCGCTCTCTACCCGCCGTCCACTGGGTGTTGTCACTGCTTCCTGTCTGCAGCTGATACGGTGACGGCGGGCCGCCATGAGGCACGAGCCGGGTGTGTAGCAAAACGGTGTGTGTGGTCGACTGATGTGCATGTGGTCGTGACAATAGCTGGTGTCTGCTGTATATATGACAATCATGATCCGGCCTGCCTGCATGTATGCGTCAACCCTTGTACAGCCAATCCACACATCCATCCATCCATCCCTCTCTCCCCGACCCACCGAAACCACCAGGGTACTATTATTTCGGTCGGGCTGAGAGGATCGCGCAAGCGAAGACGAAGAGAGGGTGGCCGCGGGCTTATCTCAACGCAGCTTCAAGGATCACATTCAACGCTATCTATCCGCAGATCTCACCGATCTGGCTAGCTAAGGTGAGAGGGAAAGATCTCGCTTCTCAATGCCAATACAATCACACACAGATAGATGCGCCTGTGTATGCTCTGTTTGTGCTGCTGCAGGCCGCGGTGAGCGCCCTCAATTTTCCCCCCCAATGGCGCGCCAGGCCCTTCTCGCTTCTCTCTGTCTGCTGATCTGCATCGCATGTGTGAGTGCTGTGCTGCCCTGCCCGCCCTACCCACGAGCCGACACGCCGGATGGCGTGGCCGCCTGCAGATTCACTGGCAACCTTGGGTCAGTACGCCTGATAAGGGCACAGAAAGGGAGGGCCCACACTGTTTTCCCCTCTGTGTGTGTGTGTGACTGCGTGGTTGCAGGAAGCCTCGTCAGCTAGTGTTGAGTCCCGATACGGGCAACGACCTGCTGGTCCTTGATCGCATCTCGATGAACTCTGCGCGAGTCATCGCACTCTGGGACGATAATGGAGATGGGGTGAGGGAGTCAACCAGGAAAAGGGGGAAAGGCATGCAATGCATAGAATGTGATGTGTTGTGTTGTGTTCTGGTGCAGTTCAGCGACCCCGACACAGAGCAGGCGATGCTGCTGAACGTCAAGGTGCCGCTGACGCACGGCCTGGCCGTCAAGCACGGCTTCATCTTCGTCTCCTCCGACACGACCGTGTTTCGGTACAAGTACGAGCCCAAGCAGCGGACGCCGATCGACCTGACGACGCAGCAGAGGGTGGTCGTCAACATGAATGCCGACGGCAGGGGCGGCGCAAACAGGGGGCACTGGACACGGTGAGAGAGAGAGGTCGGCAGGGCTTGAGGGATTCCATCTCACTTGTTGCGCATTGTGGTCGGTGGGGTGCTGCGTATCCATAGGTCTCTGATATTGTCTGAGGATGGCACGCTATATGTTTCGATCGGCTCGATGGGCAACGTCGATCGGACGTCTTTCAGGGCCCGAATCAGGAGGTGAGGGCAAAGGGAAAGACAGCCTGGGCATCCCTCCATCTCCATACCCTCACCGTGTATGTCACTCAGGTTTCCGGGCATGACGGATGCCCTCATCGGGGGCCCAAGAGACTTCGCCAAGGGAGAAGTCTTCGCGGTAAGCAAGCTTGGTTACAGCAAATGCAGCAAAGTCTGACCAATCCATTGTGTGTATCTGTGTGTCCGTTCAGGATGGTGTTCGCAACACGGTGGGGCTGGCGTGGGGACCTGACGGTAGGAAACCAGTCAGCCAGCCAGCCACACACACACACACACGAAGGAAGGCACACAGACAGACAGATGCATCCCTGCGGCTCTGATGGATCCGTGGTGGGTGTGCATGCTATGCTTCCCTGACAGGCATGTTGTGGGGCGGCGACACCGGCGCGGACGAGCTGAAGAGGTTAGCCCTGCTACCATACCACAGCCATTGCGCGATAACAGATGCATGCGTGTGTCCGTGTGTGTGGTCAGAGCTGACCTTGGAGGCGACGTGCACAAGAGTAGGGCGGACACAAAGTCACACAACCGCACACAGCTGCATGTCGGCTTCCTTCGTTGGCTCACAGACAACCCTGGTGACGAGATCAACCGCTTCCAGTGGAAGAATGCCGGCAGGTCAGAAAAACAAACAGACAGACACAGAACACATACACGAATGCCGACAAGAAATGCATCGTGTGTGGTGTGATGTGTGTCAGGTTCTACGGCTATCCGTATTGCTGGAGCGAGTACGCCCTCCCGGACAACCTCGCCAGGGGCGCCAGAACACAATGGTCTGGTCTGCCCGTCAGTCAGTCGCCATCCCTTCCTTCTTGTTTTTGGGTGTGCTGATGGTATGGTGTGGCTGTGTATAACTGTCAGGGTGTGGCCGGGCTTCACCAACTACACAGACGAGTGGTGCAACAACGCCACCAACGTCATCAAGCCCTTCACCCTCATGTCGGCGCACACCTCCCCTCTCGGCATCGCATTCTACGGCGTCGACTACCCTGACGCGCCATGTCGCCAAGACGGCCGGCAGGACACCACCGCACTGCCGTGTGCGTGGCGGGGGGACCTGTTTGTGGCGCTGCATGGGTCGTGGAACAGGGAGGTGCCTGTGGGGTATGAGGTGGTGCGGGTGCCTGTCAGCCAAGACATGCGGCTCGACGGCGACCAGCAGAAAGTCCTCACACACCTCGGTAGCGTACGCCCGTCTCTTCTTAGAGAGAGAGAGGTGTGACGGCGTGTGTAAACAGTTTGTTGTCCTTGGTGTCGCATAGGCATCAATCGTCTGTGGTCGACTGACCTGCGGCCCGTTTCGGTGGCCTTCGACCACAGGGTAAGCTAAGCGCCCACAGACACCAAGCCACCCACCACCCAGACACCCACACAAACATGACAAGTGCGTGGTGTGGCGTGGCGTGTTGTCAGGGCCACATGTATGTCTCCTCCGACATGACCGGCGAGATCGTGATGGTCTACTGGGCCGGCGACAAGTGCTACGAGGCTGGCATCGTCTTTACAGGGCCCGACATCAAAGCCCTCGCAGTCGACACCTCGGCCGCCTGCCAGGCGGCCTGCAGGGACGACCCGCAGTGCCAGTTCTTCACCTTCAGGCCCAACAGGGTGGACACGAGCAACCCCAGCTGTCTGCTCAAGGCCACTGATGTCGGCAGGAGGTCCCCTGCCGACGGACAGCCGGCCGTGTCCGGCCCGAAGCGGTGTTACCAGGTGGTGGCGCAGCAGGTCAACGCCACCGCACAGGCGGGGGGCGGCCCACCACGGGCACAAAGTGAGCTGCTAGAGAGAGAGAGAGAAAGAGAGAGTGCACCGACGGATGGCCACACTTGTGTGTGTGGGTGTGTGTTCAGGCACGGCAGTGGGGAACGACACATCAGCATCAGGAGAGGCCAGTGCGTGTGCCGCGGCGGACGAGCTGGATGTGCGGCGCGACTGTGGGTACTACGGCATCACTGCCCAGCAGTGTCTGGACAGGCAGTGCTGCTACGCACCATCAGCCAACGCTGGCGTCCCCTGGTGCTACTACCAGGACGCCGCGGCGACCTTCGTCGCGCCAGGGTCCAATGTCAGCCTGCCGGAACACACCGTCGGACAGCAACCACGCTTTAGAGGCTCGCAAGGTGGGTAGCGGACCTGCACCATCCACCCACACACGCGTCACGGCTGGTTGTGTGATGGTTGATCTGATCAGGTGGTGAGGTTCAGCCAGCAGCGACGGCGAGCAGCACACTTGAGGAGGTCGAGGGCGCCCCCCTGGTGTACCCGCCGCCAGAGGCGTCCTTCTACGGCCAAGACATAGACGCGGATACCGAGGCGGCCACGGATGCGCCGGGTGGTGGTGGAGGGGAGGAGGAGGAGGAGGAGGACACCGACGTGCTGGAGATAGACGAGGACGACAGCTCTGCCGATGACGATGGCAGCGGGAACTAGGTGTCGGCATGTGGGCGATTGCTCGCTGCTTTGTGCGTGTATGTGTGTATCGTTTTCCCGACTGATGTGCTCATGGTGTGTTTGTAATTCGTACTCCCACCTACTGTGTTTGTGTTTGTTCATTCGGGCTGGGCGGGGGGAGGGAGGGGAAGGGGGAGGGCGAGAAGGCGCGTGAGGGACTCCTCTCAAGATCAGTGGGTCTCTCTCTGCGTGGGGGGGTGGATGAATTCATGCATCCATCCATCCATCGATCCATCGGACATGGGGAGGTTTTGTGATTGCCTTTGTTGGCTGGTATGGCCCTGTTTGTTATTGATCGCACCGATTGACTCCTTCATGATGGCTATGGGATGGCCGCACAGCATTGCTAGCTGCGAAGAGCTGGCTCTCATAGAAACCATCTCGTTTAGGCAGGCGGTAGGCCGTTTCGTTGGTTGGACGAGCCACGGCGGCAGGCTTTGATTGAAAGCCTGCCGCTCACCTCTCTCTCTCTCTCTCTCTCACCCAGTGTGTTTGTCGGCCGGTGGGTCCTCTCCACCTCTTTCTTGGATGGACGAATCGCATGTGTCTCTCTCAATGGCGTATGTATGGCTCTGCATGACAGACGTGTTGTGCCGGGCACTGCCCACTATAGCATCAGTGATGGGGGGCCGGGGGAGGGGGGGGGGGGGGGGGGGGGGGGGGGG